AAAGAAAGGCGGCCAAGCGCGGTAACTCACGCCTGTAATCCCAGGACTTGGGAGGGCGAGGTGGGTGTATCACCTGAGGTCAGGAGTTCGAGGCCAGCCTGACCAAAAGAGAAAAACCCTATCTCTACTAAAAATACAAAAAATTAGCCGAATATGGTGGCGGATGCCTGTAATCCCAACTATTTGGGAGGCTGAGGTAGGAGAACTGCTTGAACCTAAGAGGCAGAGGTTGCGGTAAGCTGACATCACACCACTGTACTCCAGCCTGGGCAACAATAGTGAAACTCCATCTCAAAAAAAAAAAGGCAATATACGAACATATGATTCAGGTGGCATTATTTAAAACCTCCAAAAAAAATGAGCAAAATCATCTTAAATTTACTATGGTAGAATTCATTCTCGTGGTAAAGGCAAATAAATTATCAATGTCATGACCTTCCTGAGACAGTGGCTCCAGAAAAAAGATGGTGTGACGTATATAAATATGGTTACACAAATATCATTGCCAATCTCATTTAGATTTAAAAAAAATTAATATTACTCACTATAAAAACTTTTAAAATTCCTGTGTTCAAGTAAAGCTATAAGTTCGACTTCTTTTCCCATCCAAAATTTTAAAATCTCCTCCTAAGATACATTACTAAATCTAAACATCTTGCCACAAAGATTGAAAACTCATAGACTTCCACCAGTGCATATTCCTATTGAATAAATATGCAAACAATGATAAATCTAGCTACTGTTAATAGTAAAATTAACCTAGTGGCTCTTGTCGTTTGACTCTCCTACTTCCCAGCAAGGGTCTCAGTGAGCCCAAATCATCACCTCTCCTATAAGACCTCTTCCTATTCTTGTCCTACTCCAGGCTCTCCTCACAATAAAAACCTCCATTTTGTCAGTGCAGATTATTTTAGTGTATAGGATAAATCACGATTTAATGCACTCCAGCAAACAAATGATACCTCTTTCATATATCCTGGAATGTTTCACACTTAAAAGCTTATCCTAATAAATCTAAAAGTAGTGGGAACATTCAGCCAGAGGGGAAAGATTTTTTTAATATAAGAAAATAAGTCTGGCCATGTGCCATGGCTCATGCCTGTAATCCCAGCACTTTGGGAGGTCGACGTAGGCAGATCACCTGTGGTCAGGAGTTTGAGACCAGCCTGGCCACCATGGTGAAACCCCGTCTCTACTAAAAATGCAAAAAATAGCAGGGCATGGTGATGGGCGCTTGTAATCCTAGCTACTCAGGAGGCCAAGGCAGGAGAATCACTTGAACCCAGGAAGTGGAGGTTGCAGTGATACAAGATCATGCCACTGTAGTCTAGCCTGGGTGGCAGCATTGAAACTGTTTCAAAAAAAAAAAAAAAAAAAAGGGAAAGAAAAAACAGAAGGGCTCTATGAAGTTTCAAAGTCAGGTGTTTAAAGTTATCTTTATCCCGATTTATTCCCAAAATATGACCTAAAAACACAAATTATTTTCATTAAAGGTGGGAAATATATAGAAAAGAAGTTACTTCCTTAAGGTGTAAAGAATAGCACCAAAGTCCCATAGGAGTATTTTAGCATCTTGTCCAGAGGCAATGAAAATCCAGTGCTGAGCCTGGAGTAACGGGGTGTACATGGTACACACTGCTGCTCCACTCTCATTCTTCAGTAGACAGCTGTTTTGGAGGCGAAGTGTATATTTAACAAAAGCATTCTGAATGTCACAATCAATGGCATAGGACAGCAAGTATCTTACTCCCTTAGTTTCCTACTGCTGTAATGATCTGTTTTTGTCTTCCTCAACAGACTGTCCCCCTGGCAGTGAAGGACCCAGCTCCAGTTCAATCTGTGTTCCCCCCGGGTTCAGGCTTGTTCACAGACGATGATTAATCAACAACTGAATGAAAGCTGTAAAACAGAAATGAACACTGCTCCAAATGCACACCAAAATCCTATCTACTTCCCCAGATTCCTTTCTTCTAAAACAAAACTGAAAAAGAATCCTTAGAATCTTTTACAAACATTAAAAGGGTAGGAGCCTAAGGTGTCTCATTTTTATGAACATGTTATTTGCAAGGTTATTTTCTGATATCCTCATTTAAGTAAAATTTTGATTACACATACTTTCCAGGATTTACTTCTCAGAGAGAAATGGAAGCATTTCCCCCCCTCAGGCCAGGCATGGTGGGTCACACCTGTAATCCCAGCAGTTGGGAAATCAAGGCAGGAGGATCACTTGAGGCCAGGAGTTCAAGATCAGCCTGGGCAACACAGCAAAAACTTGATGTTTTTTTGTTTTCTTTTTTTTTTTTTTTTTTTGCCGGAAATGAGGTCTCACTATATTGCCCAGGCTGGTCTTGAACTCCTGAACTCAAGCGATCCTGCCTTGGCCTCTCAAAGTGCTGGGATTACAGGTGTGAGCCACTACTCCCCACTCAATTTTAGTTTTTTGAAGTTCTTTACATTTTTACAGTACTATGTCTCCTGACTCATAGTCTGGGTCTACTTAATATGTTGTAAACCATGGCTACCTACTGGAGACTGGAGAATTCATGCCAGGTTAAAGGTTCCAGTACAGACTCTGCCACTAGGTGGACCATGATCATCACTGCCAGGCCCCACCCAGTTTCTTTAGCTACAAAAGGAGGGGGATGTTTTCAGCGAGCCTTAAAATCCATTTCAACTTTGAAAACCCTCTCAATCCTAGTAGACATTATCAGTAGGGCTATATTCAGTTTTAACCTTAAACTCACTCACTTGGAAAAAGAAAGGCCCACTCAAGCTAACTGGGGCTAATCTCAGGCTCCATAAAGAGCTTCTCTCCAAGGATTCATTTCCCTCATATACTGTGCTACACATCTCTGAAAACTGTCAGTGCTCATGGTCAAAATTACCAAAATGATCATGAACTAGAAATAATTTTTTTTTAATTACCAAAATCAGAAGCAAGAAAAGGTAACAGCTGTTAAACGATATTTGGCACATTTCTATAAAATGACTATTAAATAGATATTTAAAGGCGAAGGGGCAAAATAAAAGTAAGCCAAGGGAAAAACCCTGAAAATACAGTGTATATGAAGTACATACACCAATGGGAAAAAAATGGGGCCATATTGCTGGTCTACCCTCAGGGCGGCTTTTAGGTTCTAGGCAATTCCTTGTTCTTATGTGTTAATCTCACATTTCCTACCTTACTACCTACTCTTCCCCAGAGATTTTTCCAGAATAAGCCAAAAGTACTATAAGCAAAAAAGAAAATAACTAGAGTTTCTGTGATGATAAAAAGGGCATCTTTCCTACACAAATGTTCCCAGTTAACTTTTCACTGGTGAAAACAGAAGCCAGATCTGAGGTGGGCTGATGGATCGCTGGAGCCAGGAGGTCCGGGCTGCAGCGAGCTGTGATTTTACCACTGCACTCCAGCCCAGGTGACAGAGTGAGACTCTGTCAAGCAAGCAAGGAAAGAAAGAAAAGAAAGAGAAAGAGGCCGGGTGTGGTGGCTCACGCCTGTAATCCAAGCACTTTGGAGACCAAGGCAGGCGGATCATCTGAGGTCGGGAGTTCAAGACCAGCCTGACCAACATGGTGAAAACCCGTCTTAAAAAAAAAAAGAGAGAAAGAAAGAAAGGAAGAAAGAGAGAAAGGAAAGGAAATAAAGAAAAAGAAAGAAAATCTGCCTTTTATAAATGCTACTCTCAGGGCTCAATAAGCCTAGATGGTAGTGAGAGTTTATTAAGGTCACTAACAAGAAAACTTCTAACAAAAAAGGCCCATCTAAGTCTTGCTAACCAACGGACCAAGAGGCTTTTTGACAAGATATGCTTGGCAAGCCAATGTCCATTTTCATTTACTGAAGTATCTCAGGCACAAGAAATCAAATAATGGGCAATAATGAGACCTACAAAACTATATCCAAACTCAAATTAATGCTAAGCTCTTTCTAGTCTCCGGGAAACTAGGCAAAACAGACAAACGGCATCACTGTGTGAGTTCCTGATGAGGATGGCGGCAGGCGTTCACGGTTCACTGGGATGAACAGGGTGCTTCCCTACCATACCTGTGCCTGGAACTTAGGCAAAAACAGGTATCTGGATCTCTGCGTTCTCTTGATCAAGCTGGGAAATAATCGCTTCGCATCATCTGTGTGGAGCAAATATTGTGATGGGGACACGTGCACGTATACCCAAAGCCGTGACACCTAAGTTGGGCTTCCAGTCAGGGCCGTGTTCCTGGTATTCTGGTGTCAAGGTGAGAGCGTGGTCGCGAGCCTAAGAGAAGCTACCCACCCCAGCTCCGGGCTACAGACAGAACTGTCAACACTGCCGAGGGCTGTCCCGGGCGCGGCGGGCCGGGGCCGTTCCCCTCCTCTCGACGGAGGCACCGGGGTCTGCAAGGAACACTCGCACCCGGGCGGGCTTCCTCGCCGGAAAAACGCGCCCCAGACCTGCTTCAGAGCCGACCTGCCCAGCGCGGCCCGGGGACCCATGGGCCCCAGAGGCGCGACCCTCACCGGGCAGCGAGCTCGAGGGGGCGGCGGGGCCGGGGTGCGGCACGGACCCCGCCACGGGGGCGCGGGGTGATTCAGCAGGCCCGGGAGCCCCGGCCCCCGCCCGCCCCCCAGGGGCTGCCCCCTCCCGGGCCTCCGAGGGGTCCGCCGGCCGCCCCGGCCCAGCGACCAGCCGCGGGCCCCTGGCCCCAGCCCCTCACAGCGCCCTGGATTCTCCGCCCCGGCCCCGGCCCTTCGCGGCGCCCCGGGCTCCGTGTCCCTCGGCCTCGCCGGCCAGCAGCCCCCGGCCTCGCTCGGCCCCGGCCCCTCAGAGCGTCCCAGGCCCTGCCGCCCTCAACAGCTCGGACCCCGGCCCTGCCACCCCCGCCACCCTCGCGGCGATACTCACCGAAGGTGCGGCGCTGCTTGAAGGTCTTCTCCGACGGCATGGTGCGGGGATCTGGGTGGCGGAGGCAACGACGCGAGGGCCCGGCGGCTCCTGAGGGCGGCGGCGGCGACGGCAGCGGATACGACTCTGGCGATAGCGACTTCCCTTGTGTCTTCTCAGCCCGCAGCCTGGTCAGGTGACTCGCGGCGCGTCACTGAGGGGCGGGGCCAAAGACGGCCAGGGCCGCCGCCATGATGGGCGTGGCGGAACCAGAGAGCCGCACGCAGCGTCGGCGGTAGTGCAGGGGCGTGCGCGTGCGCGTGCGCGTGCGTGACAGAAAAGGGGAAAAAAAAAAAAAAAAAAAAAAAAAACCGCTCGCTGTGCGCATGCGCTTGGTGGTACCCTGATCCTCCCAGCACGGGTGGGCGCCTGAGGCGACGACGGCTGTCGGCTGGGCCGCACCCCGGGGCTGTGGGCGCTCTGGAGCCTCCTGCCCGGCCCTGAGGAGAGGGCACCGCGAGGCGGGGAAAGCCGAGCCACTGGCGAGATGTCCCGGGGCGTTCTTGAGGGAGCGGTCAGGGGAAGGGAGGTGATGCAAACCCGACCACCCCTTCCCTTCAGGAGAGAGACGCGGCAGTGCGGCGGGAGACGCCCGGGGCTGAGGCGCCCGGGGCAGGCCGCGCCCTCTCCAGGAGGCAGGGTCGCCGCGGGGTCGGGGCTTGGGGTCCCCGCCAGCCCTTGGGAGTCGCCGCCTCCTCCGCGTGCAGGGGCAGGCGCGCTCCGTGGGTGGCTTCGGGGAGCGGCCGCCGGTGGTCTGCATCCCGCACGCAGCGCGCCCCGCCCCGCCGCGCCCCGCCGCCGCCCCGCCGCGCCCCGCCGCCGCCGCCGCCGCCCTCGGGGATGCTCCGGCAGCCTTCCTGCGGTGCGCTGGCCTGCGGCGACGGCCAGGCCTGCCCCACGTCGCCGGCCGCCCTGTGCGCCCCTCCGCTCGCTGCACAGCCTGCGCGGGGGGCAGTTTTTGCGTCTCGGACGCGTCTGCAAAAAGGCAGTGATATTTGAGGACTCAGAATGGGCTGCGGGGCGTAGACCGCCTGGCGATTTTTGGTTGCTGTTGCCCTTGGTCGTGTCTCTAGGAACAGCACTAAATTCTGGGGGTTTTTTTTGAGACAGGGTCTTGCTCTGTTTGCGGCGGCCGCAGCCTCCTGGACTCAAGGGATCCTCCTGCCTCAGCCTCCCGAGAACCTCGAGTAGAGCCTGGGTCTCGCTGTGTTGCCCAGGCTTGTCTTGAACTCCTGGCTTTAAGCAGCCCTCCCGCTTTGGCCGCCTTTTTTTTTTGGGGGGGACGGAGTTTCGCTCTTGTTACCCAGGCTGGAGTGCAATGGCGCGATCTCGGCTCACCGCAACCTCCGCCTCCTGGGTTCAGGCAATTCTCCTGCCTCAGCCTCCC